CATAATTCCTAAAAAGCAAGCTAAACTCATCCTATCTATTCAGCTTTTATCGTAAATTCATTTTTTGGAAAAAAGAAAACTAACTCTCCAACAGAAGTAGCGCCTTCTTTTACAGCAGAGTTATCTGATTTCTCTGATTTGTCGCTTTCAGCTGCATCATTTCTTTCCCCTTTGCCGTTTTTGTTACGATCATATGCTATCTTTATTTCACCATTACTAACTTTGCCATCATCATCTAGATATTCCGATTTCTCATCATCATTTATTTGACGATATTCTTCATTGTCCATACTTCCTACTAGATTTTCCACACCCATCATCTGCGCAAAAAAAATCAAATGAGATCTTACAAAATTAATATTAATACGAAGAATCTTACACTAAATAAAGTTCACATTCATCAGACTACATTCACAGCAGATACTTTCTATTCATAAAAAAGATCGCATAGAAATCCATTGGGAACAAAGGGTAACTTAATTCCTGAAATACGCAAAATTCTAGTCTCATGGAATTCTAAGAACCAAGCTGAATAACATGAGAGAATATTCAGAACCGAAAACCAACCATTCGATGACTGCACAACCAGTGGTTAATGACAGGAAGGCACGAAATGTTTAACATTATATGTCAGCAAATTATGCAAAAATAAGGATAATATTTACGGGTATCTAAAGTGCTATACCAAAAAATTAGCAGAAATTGATGCATAACACTATTCTGAGCTCATTTATAATTGTACTTCTAATATAGAAAGTCTTTTATACAAGATCATTTTACCAATTACTCACTTTCTTAACTCAAATTTATTTGTACTTAACTCAGTCTTAGAAACCAATAGTAACTCAACTATTTATTAAAAATGAAAAAACCAGCAGAATTGATCTCAGCCAGTCCAAATATCCTCGAAAAAGACTAAAAAAACTTACCCGAAAAAAGTTTCATTTTCAGTATAAAAAATGAAAATTGCCGTAACTTTAAAATGACAGTATCATAGAATATATGCTTAATGTATCAAAATTTAATCGTTAAAATCTCTGAATCTCTCTCCTTCTTAGAAAATCTAAGGGAAAAAAATGACATGATCATTTGTGTTTTTATAGCCTCAGCCTGTGTTCGATTCAAATTGCAACATTTTTGATTAGAGTTGAGATCGCTGATGATTTAACATATTGAATATTATAAGGATAACTTTAACAAACCAAAAAGAATGTCATTCTCGTGGTCTCCATGGTGATCATTATCTAATTAAAATCTCTACATTTATTTAAAAGACATGTATATATTTAACTGCACTAAGCAAAAGAACTATGAAATGACTGTTTTATACTAGAATTTAACTCTCTGATAAATTTTAATACTTCATAAATAATTTTTTGCAATGACTTTTTTTGCAGCATTATTCAGCATATTTTATCTGGGACAGAAATGAAAATGTCATAAATTACGTCTTTACTGTATCAGTCAAAATGCTGAAATGATTAAACTAGCTTAGCCATAATTTTAGATACTAACTACACACATCGTTAAAAAGAATTCATAAATCCGATGCTAATTAGGCTCGTAATAAAAGATGAGAAAGTGAACATTCATCCGTCAATCCTGGCATTAATGAAACTGGATTCATGCAAATTATATTTGCATGAATCCAGTTTCATTGATAACAGGATTCAGAATCAAATCAAATTCCAATTCACTATAAACGGTTAGAAACTTTTTGGGCAAAATTTATCTTAAATTCATCACCAACAATTAATTAAATAACTGTTCAAATAACGAATGAGATGACAGTGAGGAAGCAAAATAGCCAGAACCTACGAATTGAATAATCATCTTTTTATAAAATTCTCCAATTGATATATATACTTACAGCATTATTTCTTACTTTCTACACCAACTGCAGTAACATTTCACCTTTAGCACTAGTCTTGATGGACATTATTTTATTTGCACTTACTTTTGCTGATTCTATATTTTAGGTATTTGTGAGGAAATTGCTGACGGATTACGTAATAATGATAACGGTGATTGTGGATAATTTAAAGCTTTGATAATAATGAGCATGATAGTGATAAACGATAATATAACGATGTCTTTCTCGACAACTATAATATTTTCACGGTTGATGATGGTACTGATGATGATGCTGATAATAATAATACATATAATGATGATACATACATAGGATATATATATAAATGTCGTATGACAAGCCTGCAAGTTCTATTAAATTACGCATTGCCATGTAAGGTCATGTGTGAATGGGCTTTTATGAAAATTTGGAAGGAATGGAAACTGAGTTTTACGCTTCGTAAATGCAATATTAAAGTATTAAAATTTGACCTCTGATCCTTACTTACTTAGTTGGAAATAAAAGAATTCAAACCGTGGAAACAAATAAATGGCCTCATCAACCGTTTTGGTTTCCAAATCTGCTTTATATATGATAACACTCTAAAACAAAAATTTTCAGTACAATTTCAACCGAGACAACATTGCTATATTGAACTTATGCACTTAATGCCTAGTTTTCTCATAAAGTAAGGAAGTATTTCAACAAACGAAAGACAAAAAAGTCTTTCGTTATACCTTACCTATGCAGAGAGTTGGGGAAAGATTTCTTGAAGAACTGCCTTACAAAATGAATAAGCTAAAGATAAAAAGTTAAAAATTACCTCAAACTCCACAAAAAAAGGAGCAACTGAATTGGTATTTCAAATGAAAATGATATCACCACTGCTGAAATGGTATAAAAATGATATCATCAACGTTTGAATTTTAAGGAATTTTAAGAGTTAGCGCGTTAGCAATGCTTCAGAATGTTTTCTGAAATTCGATGTTAATATTCTCAATTATAAGTTCATTTATCTCGACTTACGAATTTACTGTCGATATGCAACAGCGCAAATCACATCAACAATAGTCAATTAACTCGTAACTAAGCGACCAATCATGCCATATCAATAGACAACTGAACACTTTGCATTATGTGGACATATATCACGTCACTATGCGCAAATTTAATCGATTAACAAATAAATGCTATCAAAATAACTCCAATTATTCATAGATTTTCATATCAGCTATACGCGCTACATCAATTGGATAATTAAGCATTTTGCGTCATATTTACGCATATTACGTCTGCGCATCGAAACTTTTGTTCACATAGGCATACAAGCACGTTAGTAAATTTACACATATTTCTAACTTTCTGAATGATCATAAACGAAAGTTTAACTGCCAAACGAAAGGTTGACCGTTTACACCAAATAAATCAATTGCCACCGTGGCAATGCATAGCATCAACACTGTTAGACCAAAGATCACGAATTCTCGTTAGATTGCATAACACGAAGAGAGTTTAGCATTATAATGAAAAAAAATATATATATATATATGTATATATATATACATATGAAAATGCAAAAGAGATGCAGCTAAGCCAATAATTTCCCGGAAATACTCGAGATGAAGTCGATAGTTTACATTACTGTTTTACCTCAGTTACGTCTTATATCTCATGTATGTTAAGTGAACATATGTGCAGCACAAACAGCAGTACAAACTGAAATCGTCCTGTAGAAACCACGGGGAGAATAATAGATTTTTCACCGGAAGATATATTCTCAATGATATCATCTAAGAGACAGATTACAGTCAGCTAATGATGCTAAAGCATATATCAAATGACGTGGAATGCACTTCAACTAAGACCCATAATATGATCTTCATTCATTTAGTACCTTTTATAAACTCCTCTGTATTCCGAGAGATTCACGTCACCGACAGATATACGTACACACACACACGTACATACACATACACATACACATACACATACACACACACA